CCTAGATCCCACCCAGAGATTTGAAGTGCTTCAGACTTTGGATGGGTTTGCGAGACAGATAGAGGACCTTCGGCAGCAGTTGATGCCTGCATCTTATGCGATGGAGGAAGAGCTTAAAGAAAAGCCTAGGGAAGGGCCCGGGGGAAAGCGTAAGGAGAGATGAAGAATGGTTTAATTGGGAACATTGAAGATTATTGGCTTTCATGATGATATTGGATAGTAGCGTATGGGTTTCTGGACAGAATTTTGTATGGCGTTCGTTTCCATTTTGAACAGGATAGGGTAATAGTATATCAGCGAATTGATCATCCACGTTTCTGAAATTATTCGAGCTATATCGCGTAGGTAGTGTTGAAGTTGACAATTCATTGTTCAGTGTACTGAGGAACATTGAATGCATGAAGATACATACAAACATGTATCTCAGGCTGTCAGGTACGTACCTAGCTCTCTTGCAGTGGAGCAATCATGGCTATTCTTCGGTTAATTGTGACGAAACACATACATGTACAGTGAAGATGACGACTGATAACAGATAACGATAAGACAACACGCTGCAGGTAATAATTATGGGGAATGGTCAGAGGAATGGAGAAAGATGGAATCCATAATGAATCCATAATAATAATACAGCATACAATGCATACAATGTATTGGGCATGCCACCTGCACTGTCTCCATATCGGCATTTTTGCATGAACCATGTTCCGTATCATCACGACTGCATCATCACTGTCGGTTTTGAACTTCTCATGCTCTACTCTTTTGCGCTAAATTTACTGAGAAGCAGAGTTAAAGACGGGGGACAAACTCACAACAGAGAGAGACCATGATTCCTAGGAAGACAACATGGATTCCGAGTCAAATGCGCCCCTGGAGCGATCGACGTCACAGCTCTCTGCCGCCTCAGCTTCGACGAGGCTTACCCGAGCTCACTCAACTCGCGCAAAGTCCAAGTCGAGGAAATTAATCTCACAGCCCTCAAGCTCAGCTTCGTCCATCGCTGCGTCAGACAAGTCGCTTACTTCTTTCCCATCCTTCTCCCCTCAATCTCCGCGACAAGATCACTCCTTCACCACTCCCGAATCCAATTCTTCTATGGTTAACAACGGGACGAAACCATCTGAAGTCCCCACTAGAACCTCCATCGTCGATAGTCTAACTTCGTCCGAGACCCAAAAGACAGCGCGCAATGCGTTATTCGACGACACTCCATTAACGCCGCAGAAGATACCTGGTGCCCTTCACCACGCCAACGACGAGCATATTGAACGTCTAATCGCAAAGCATGGAGCTGTTAATCTCGTACGCCAGATTGCTGAGGATCTCGCACACCGTGATCTCCAGATTGCTAGGATAAGAAGAAGAGCCGATGAAAGAGAAAGGGCGTTTAGAAAGATAATACGCGGGTGTGGACTGTCAAGCTTAGACCTTGAAACAAAGCTCCGATCGGTTGAGGCAGAGCTCCAGGCGCAAGACAAGATAAAATGTGGTTTAAACGGGGATGTTTCTGGTATGATGAGCGATGCGCTTCACGATTCGATATCCTATAATGCACTGGGCATCAATGACGTAAATGACGCCACGATCCGAGCGAGTAGCCCATCCGTTCCAAAGGAAAATAACACTAGCAAAGGCACCATGAAAGCATGGAGGGAATATCTTTGGGGCGGTTCGAGCAGAAAAGCCAGCAGAGCTGGCAGCATCAATGACGAAGCTGCAAAGACGGTTGTTCGTGCATCGACACCTGGAGATCGTCGGCCTACTATACAGGAAGATCTATTCGTCCCACCGGATGCAGATTCTGTACGAAGCTCTAGCCGCGCTTCAAGCATCTACTCCGGACATACGAATAGAAAACCCTCGGCGTCGTTTGCTAGTATGGCTTTGCAACTAGTAGCTGGGAAGGCGTCCTCGATCCGCGATTCTGACTCTGCTAGGGGAAGATCAAATTCGGCGGGCCAGGGCGGCTCTGTACGGTCATCATCGAATGCTAGCAACTCGAACCGAGCTGTGTCCACACAAGGGGGCCCTAAAGCGCTTATGTCGATGCGACGAGCAACTCCGAAACCTACAAATTTGCAATCTTCGCGACCGCGTGACAGATGGGAAGGTATAGGCGCAAACTCTGAGAGTTCGCCGGTAGTGAGGCCTGATAACAATGGCCCTGTCGAAATGGACACCATATTTTCCCCCGAGGGCCAACCGCCGGCTCTATCGCAACTATACAATAACTATGATGGCGAACACTTGATTGATCGCTTTGGGTTTATATACGACCAACGCCGAAAGAAGAGGCAGCGCGAAGCTGCCCAAGTCGCTCTTCAGATGAAGAAGGGCCATGAAATGCTATCTGGCGGAAGATCTGGCATTTCTCCTAATCTCCTCGATGACGAGACAGGCTCGTTTGAGGACACTGGAAACGATGATCGTCCGGAGAGCCCAACCTCGATTGAGGGCCCTATTGACCAAGGCAAGGCGAAGAGATGGCAGGACTATCTCAAGATAGCCACTTTCCCGACAGAGCTGTTGTCGCATACTCCCTCCATCACAGCCTCGAATATAGAGGTCCTGGAAGGAAATGGACAGCCTAAGTCGCCAAGCCTCATAAGCCCAGATGAACGTGGCTTCGTCCCATCTGCAAGGACCACAACTTCGGCTTCCGGTAGAGAAGCTAGCCCGAAACAGGAAGACGAATCTGCTACCGCTACTCTCGTGCATGAAGATGTTGAGCCTGTGAAGCTTCTACTAAAGCAGTTGAGCGACGTCCATGACAATCTTCAAAGAGAAAAGTCTATCCGCTGGAACGAGTTCCTTCGAAAGGTGCGCGCCGAGCGTCGACGCGAGGGCGAGGCTGCGGCCGCTACTGCTGCTGCCGCAGCCGAAGCTCGCTTCCAGACAGCGCCCGTTATGATTCCGGAAGCTAAGCTTACCGATGGCGAGACCATTGGTATCGCAGATCTGGGTATGAAGGGTAAAGTCGGGCGTGCAAAGTGGAATGAATTCAGGAACCTGGTGCTTGGCGGTATCCCTGTGGTGAATCGTCCTAAGATCTGGGCGGAATGCTCCGGCGCTCTTTCTAGACGAACACCTGGCTATTATAAAGATCTCGTGTCGCGACCCAGCGATGCGGACGACGCGGTTGTAATCTCGCAGATCGAGATGGATATTAACCGCACGCTTACCGACAACATATTCTTCCGCAAGGGCCCTGGTGTTGCCAGACTCAACGAAGTTCTTCGGGCATATGCTAGGCACAACCCCGAAGTTGGATATTGTCAAGGCATGAATCTTATTGCGGCAAATTTGCTGCTCATCATGCCGTCTGCCGAGGACGCTTTCTGGGTCTTTGTGTCGATAGTCGAACGTATCCTACCCCAGGGATATTATGACCACAGCTTGATGGCATCCCGTGCAGACCAGCACGTCTTGCGCCAGTATGTTAGACAGGTCCTTCCGAAGCTGTCTCAACACCTCGACGCGCTAAGCATTGAACTCGAAGCCTTGACCTTCCAATGGTTCCTGAGCGTTTTCACAGATTGCCTGTCAGCCGAGGCACTGTTCCGCGTCTGGGATGTGGTACTCTGTATAAATGACGGAAGTACATTCCTATTCCAGGTCGCGCTAGCTCTTCTCAAGCTCAACGAGCGGCAACTCCTACAGTGCGACACCCCGGCGGCTATCTACACCTACATTAACCATCAGATGACCAACCACGCCATTAGTATCGACGGGTTGATTCAAGCTTCTGAGGGGTTGAGACGGGTCGTCCGGAGAGAGGATGTTGAGGAGAGGAGGGCCAAGGCTATCGAGGCAGACAAGCAGATGATGAGGGAACGTGAGGAGCGCAACGCCCTGAGGAAGAGCCAGAAGGCCTTATCGGCGCCTGCGCTCGTGACGGAAGCCAGTGCATCTGCGCTACCGAGCCCGGCGCCACGTCCGACGATGCAAGATGATAGTGAGAGCAGTAGTGTCGCCGGCTTGAGCACCTTGGACAACGGAGAAGAAGGCGGTGACACGGTGAGCGTGAGGACTTCCACACCGGCCGAAGAGGAGACGTCATTCGGGCTAGGTTGAGAGGCGCTTGGAGTGATGATCGAGGAAAGTGGGCAAACCTTCGGGTTGAAGAAGTATCTGTCTCCGAAGCATAAAGAATTGAGCAGAGGAGCATTGTTACCATCGCAGTTGGTGCCTTGCATTGATATCGTTGAGATAACTCACATGAGGCGGTTGGCTTCTCGTCTTGTTTTTTTCCCCCTTTTTTATTAGAGAGATTGGGCCATGATACCCCCTTACAGCACTATTGTTCCTTTCTGTTATGCATAGCTGGGCAATCCGAACGTTGTGGAAAGGAGTGTCGAAGGAGTAGAGATTAGTTTAAGAAAAGCAAAGCAAAGCAAAGCAAAGCAGAGCAGAGCAGAACAGAGAAGACGAGATATAGGGTCGCGAACACTGTGAATATGTCTAGGTGCCTTTACATATGTTTGGTTCCTTGGGAAGCATGAGGCGATACCACCTGGCTTGTGTTCTAGCTTGACTGTGCATCCCTTTTTTGTTTTTATTTTTACTGTCACGCAAGACGTGGGAAGTGAGTGAGGCAAGTTCGATAGGGGAATGAATAGCTAGATAAATGTGTGGCGCGCCCAAGCTGTTACAGAGCCGAGATCCAGAGATAAAAATATATCAATGCGGCTTACTGCTGAGTGACTACCTAATGTATGTGCTCGTGAGACTTTGTGTGTTGGTAATATGTATTTCTGATCGTCTTTAATGTCTTAATTTCAGAGCTTATTCTTCAACCGGATTGTAGAGTTTACATGTGTCTTAACTCGTCCATACTGACTACCGAACATTCTATTTTACGTTTACAACAGCTATTATAACCCCGCTCAACCTGAGTGAGGCTTGTGGTAAAATAATAAAAAGAGAAAATCAATGCTCCTAAAATGAACTACATCTTGAAGATATTTGACGAAATAATTAAGCAAAAGAAAAATGAACTCCGAATCGGGGAATCGAACCCCGGGCTTGACGGATCTAATGATGTTTAAACCATGAGAGCGTCAAATGTTAGCCACTACACCAATTCGGATTGAAGCTTATTGGATGAGAAAAATTGGTGCACTTTGATATTATATATTTATGGTGGCGCTAACAGACTTAGCTCACACCGCTTCTATGCACGCACGGCATGTCAAAATTGGCAGCTTGCATTCTGCAGCACATTGTGCAAGAGCTGCAACACATGTGCAAGAGCTGCAACACATGTGCAAGAGCTGCAACACATGTGCAAGAGCTGCAGCACCATGTGCTAGAGCTCCAGCACAATGTGTTGCATGAGCAAAATTTGCGGGAGATTACAACTCTTGGACTCTCTATAGCCAAATAGCTTACATCTACAGAGGTTGCCTTACTCCATGTACTCTGCTGATCCAGAAGTACTCCTCATACAGTGTTGCAATAGACACCTAGCGGTAAAGATGACCTGCACGTTGACCGGGGTTCGGGAAAGGAGATAGTGAGGGGGAAGCGCATATTGCGTGTTACTCTCCGTCACCTCCTAAATCTTTGTTCGTCCACACTTGTCAATCTTATTGCACACGCCCCTCTACCACGACGATTGGTCTGACGAACACGCCTCCTATCATATCGCAACCAGAGTGTCGCATCCAATCGATTTACCTATCCCCAACGCCCTTCTTCGCTTTCAACGTCAGCATAAAGGCGGTTTTCTTATACCGCACGTCTGACGACACAACGCTACTCATCGGAAGCAGAATGGCTTCCCGCGGATCAAGTTTTCATGCTGGAATGCAACTCGGGCTTCAATATTTTTACATGAAAGTGCGTTAGCTCGGCTGCGTGCCGCGAGTACCAAGCAAAGTAAGCGAGCTAGGTGGCTTGGGGGGTGCTCATATCTACACGTTAAGAATTCCGCAGCTTCCTTTGGTTCCATTCCGGATCCCTTACTGTGTAGGTAGGTAGTCAATCCTGCTTAGGCCCGTATGGATCCAGATCGCCTATCGTACGTCAAATGAACTAGACCGCTTTCCACACTATCCTGGTCATCTTGGTGATGGGCGTATATCCACTGCAATCCTGCAATCGTACTGCACCAACAACACTGCTCTCCTATTATTCTGAAATTTCGTAATTTTTGTACACGAGTCTCTCCACCGTGGACTCGAAACATAACTGCAAGTGTAAACCCGGTTAACATGCATTGGTCGGCTTCTCCAAAATCGTGGATGTCTCTCGAATAAGCAGGCAGATAGGGTAGGTAATAGTCGAGCACATCGTGATAGGATCATCCGTCTAACGTGCGATACTCCCTGTCATAGAACACTTCCACCAACTCCTCAGCTAGGTGAATGTCATTACCAAAAACTTTCCTTCATGTTTCCCGTAAAAGTCTTCGAGTGGTTAGCGTTACCGCGCAAAGACCTTGACAACTCCATCCCCTCCACCACTAACAACCCATCGGCCGTCTTGACTCCAGACAACGGCGCATACACCTTCTCCCCTCATAATCCGGTGGCTGGTTATCTCTTGAGTGCATGTTCGCTTCTCTAGAGACCAGAATCGAAGGCTGGCATCGTGGCCAGCGGACACGAGCTCGCGTCCATCGGGGCTAAGGGAAAGAGACGATATTGACGCTGGATGCGCGAGCATGTTGTATGTACATTGGCCTTTGAACAAAATTAGTGATACGCGCCTACGCATATGCTAGATAAATCATAGAAAAATAAATACTTACCACTATTCGCATCGAAGAACCTTATAAAACGATCTTCGTGCCCAGATATAATGACGCCTTCAATTCCGCTGCTGGCTGTGCCGCTACCGCCAGTAGGGCCACTTGGGTCTTCATCACCTAAGCCTGTCCCGGAACTTTGATCGAGACCCGCTGTAGTCGCAACAACGGCGTTGACACTTGTATTAATGGTATTGTCGTAGGTCTCCAGGCTAGCCATGGAACCAATCTCCTCGCCGGTCCTTGTATCGAATACGATAATAGCAGCATCCGAATAGCTAACTACAAAAGTTTCTCCACTAGGTGACAACGGGGTAATACACGTTGGTGAAGCCTGCGATCCGTTAGAGCGGCGGATGTCACGGACCAAAGTGTAATGGAAAGGCGAATTTGAAGCCATGTTGGGTTGAGGCGAGCTTGGAAATTGAGATCCGGAGCTCATCGAGTTGCCCCTAACCCGACCACTACCTGTGGCGCGTCGGGGTGGTCCTGGCTGTGGCGATGTAAGCTGCGGCGGGGCACTGACAGCCCAGATCTTCACCGCACCATCAGCTGCTCCAGAAACAACTAGGATGCGATCTGGGCTGCCATAGGGATTAGTCTGGCCGAAGACGGCACCGAGAGTTGCGGGTAAGACACAGATAGCCCAGACTGCATCACTATGGCCTTCAAGTGTTGCTTTAGGGTCCACTCTGCCGCGCTCCCATACTCTGATAGTCGCATCTTGTCCACCTGAGAAGATCCAACCATCGCCTTGGGCACGTCCGCCGGTCGAAAAATTGGGGGATGGCGACCATGACGTGAGTGATAATACAGCACCTGTATGTCCACGGTGGGTGAAGTCAGCAGGTACGTCAAGATCGGATGACATATTCCCATGGTGGCCTGGATTCTCGCGCGGGATGTGGAAACGCTTTATCAAACCATCGTCGCCAGCGGTGCAGATCTCTGGCTCACCAGGACTTCCACCCCCGGAAAATATCACGGTCCGGACAGCATTGAGATGGCCACGCAGTCCGTATCGCAATTTAAAACTACCGTTTTCTGCTTTCTGCGATATGCCGTTAAGGGAAAGCTCCTGCTCCGCACTTTTCCTGCGCGACATAGAAGTTTTTCGTCTATGCGACGTAGGGCCGCGGTTAGGCGACTTGGGGAGATTTTCGGCATTAGGAAATGCATCAGTGTCTGGGCGGTGTGTGAGAGGTTGAAGCTGCTGTACAGATGCTTGATCGGGAAAGGTGCCTTCGCCGAAGTCCCAACCGTCTCCTTCGGTCGATCCTCGTCTTTCCAAGGGACCTTCGCCCAACTCGGTGCGTGCGGACTCATTAGAGTGGTTGAGCTTTGCATTCATATCTTCCTGCATACGAGCCATAGGCTGTCCAGAGGCTGCCCACTCACCGGGATGCGAGTACTTCGGAGCAGGACCTTCCCCCGACCGGACCATGGGCGCGGATTGCAAGTCTGCGTTCTTTGGAGGCAAATTAGCGGAGGAATTTGCCTGTGGCATCGCTTGGGCGTGATGGATATTCAAATTCGCTGCCCCGGGCCGGGCACCGGGGTCGTTCACATGGTTCTGGTTGAGTCTCAACGCCTGGAAAGCCGAGTCTAGAGGCTGTTGGCCAATAGATAGTCCGAATTCTCCTTCCCTCAGATCATCCATTAGAGGTAGGGGCGGAGATTCTCGAGGAGGAATGGGATTTGCTGGGGTGACCATAAGATAAGTGAATTCAGCTTGGCATTGATCCAAGAAAACCCTAAGGTTCTCGCGTTCCTCATCCTCCTGCACACGCTCTCCTAAGAGACCCTCAAGGCCGGGTACCGACTCTTTTGGCTTCTCGCTTGTTGCTGTAAACGGAGTTAGTACTGTGTTTTGGGGGACTCCTACAATCGACAATTATCCAATTTATACGTACATTTCAACTTTTCCTGTATCAAAGCAGCCCTGTCGAGTTTCTGGGGTTGCTTCACGGAATGATCCGTAGTGGAAGCCGTTGACGAGGCAGCCTCTAACTTGGCGGCCTGGTCTTTGACCTTCTTCTCCAGAATTGTGACATATCTCTTCAGTGCTTTCTGTGTGGCGTCTGCCCTCCTAGCGGAACCTTCGAGGGCGGCTATTCTGCCTTTCATTTCCTGGCGTTCGATCTCCCAGGCGTTCCTGTCTCGCTCATGTCGATGCCATTCGGTCTGAAGAAAGCGCATAACACCTGTTTGACAAACTCAAGTTAGTCAAGGAATCAAATAAGAAGTTATGTTGGTTCAAGAATCTCACTATACCTTGTAGTGTATACTCGGTAGCATGCGGCTGATTTGACGGGTTGCCAGACGGTCCCCCTCCGGACATATCCTGTCCACCCGGGATACCAGACCCATTCCCACCGGCCATGGCGGAGACCTGTTGCCAGCTCATGGGTAGTTTATATCCGGTTCACCAGATCGACGGTATTCAGCCCTCGCTGCCGTCTTCACCGTTTTAGTTGAGGCTGGCTTTTCGACATGCGCATTTGCGTTGCAAGTACCGTAGAAAGATACAACCTTGTATCTAGGATCGGCAGTGCGAAGGGTGCGATATCAATTGGTTTATTGACGTGTCATGAACAGGATAAGTGGAGTCGCGGGAATTGTGGAAACTACTCTCGTTTGCGAAATAGTAAAATATCGAAACGTCGCGATGTTGAGGCAGTAAAACAGCTCTTTATTCGTGGCAGATTAAAAAAAAGATTAAATAGGGCGAGTAATGAGCGAAGAGAATCAAGATAGTTCAAAGAATTGCCTGATTCGAATACACAAATGTGACGCAGCACAAGATGGTAAACTGCCTGGAAGCGTGATTCGGTTTCGTGTTGTTGACGCGTTATAGGATATCTCGATGTTTCGCTGGCGTTCTGTCCAGATGGCAGAAGTTGGGAATTTCTGAGACGTGATGGATTTGGAAAGCTGTTAGGTCCAAAGTACATGTTCGGCCAACTGCTGAAGGAGCAAGAAGGGAGGTACGTACCCTGCACTTCCTGCTAAATTAGGTCATTGCACCCCGAGCCACCGCTGGCCTACCAATCAGAACCGCAGTGCCACAGAAGGCTAAGGTAAAACTTCCCCTGAAAACTGAAGCTGTGTACCGTTGAGAAAAGACGCTCAGACCACTTTCCATCTAAGCTTTTTACCCGTCCAAACTTAAGCTAGAACAGCTCTATTATCACTCAAGCTGATTCAAGCTTACCCAATCCAAATTCTTCAACAACCCCTTACGCGCGTTTTCAAGTCGCAAATTCTCTATAATTATTAACGTCATATAATTACCTAGATACCTAGTTCTAATATTAACAACTTATAGCAATCTTATA